TTTTTTTTTAACACCTGAAAAATGAATGTAGCATAAAATGTAAGCACTTCATTCATAATTCAGGAAAAGTGAAATACTGCCCAAAGTAACTACAGTTTCTTATTTGGGAATATTTCCTGAATTAAATCTGAAGGCCTGTAAAACATTATGAACAGCTCCCATTGAAATTAATGACTGGATTCCAGTTGGACCTGATCTGTTGGAGATGCAAGGCAGCCACGAATTTGATTCCAGAAAATCAGTCTGTAATCATCTGTCTGAAAAGCTATGTTTGATGTAAAGCATATTAACTAAATATCAAAATCTGTTAAGTATTACAAAGAAAATCTTGATGTCTGTATTTTATATACCAGCAGTCCTCTTTTGGGAAGATAATAATTTCAGTCATGGACAATTTTGTTTGAGAAAGGACTATGAGATTTTCACACAATATAATATATTCTGAGGTGCTTGTTAAATTAAAAAAACAGCAGCAAATTTTAGAATGAGGCTATTACATTTAACAAAGCACTATATCACAAAAAATATTTTATAATATTAAAACCCCTTATACTCATTTAAACACATTTCAGGAAAAAAATAACGGTTCTAATATATGGAAAAAATTATTATATTATGGATGCTGGAAATGTAGTCATATTTATTTTGAAGTATGTTTATGTTGTTAGATTGACCCCTGAGAAAGTCAACAAGTAGCAATTTACTTTCCGAGGTTATAAAATGCCAAATAACCTAGTTGTCTCTTAAATGCTCTAGTAAAATACCCAGAAGGATAAACACCACAGCTCTAGGGAAAGAAAAATATTATGTGTGCAATAATTATGAACATGCTAGTGTTGGAAGAAAACAGTCATTTATGTTCAAGCTAACTAAACTGGCGAGACAGGAAGAGGTAGTCTAAAGTAAGTTTAGAAAAAAGCTCTTTGGATTAGAGACTTCTGTTCTTAAGTGCATGTTCCACTTTCACTGTTAATGAAAATGTTTGTCATTACCAGAGATATTTTATTACAAAACCAGTGTTCCATGAGATGAAAACAGAAAATAATAAATGTTTGTTGTTTTTTTTTAACAGACTGAACAGTCACAAGAATACTAAAAATTTAGCAAGGAATGCTCATATATTATTAATGAAAATATATATCGCACACCAAGCCATTCAAATTACTATTTGCTTCAAGTTAGAAATATCAGTGTTTTGCTGAATTAGGTACATGGATCTAAATCTTCATCCAAAGCAATGAATACAATTAGGCAATCAAAAATAGAAAAGATATGATTTTGTAATAATGATTTGTTACATTACATCTATTTATGTCTTTACACAGTTGGAAATATGCATAAACTAACAAGTGATGATTCTGGACATGTAGAGAAATGTAAAGCCTATTAATCTTAGCAGTCTAAAGCTGCAAGTTGAAGCTCTCATTTCCGTGAATTTCAATCTGTCAGTATCATACGGTTGAAGACCTGTGTTAGCAAGATGTATGTATGTAAGGAGCACAAGACAGCCAGTAGAACAATCCCTGAATGCACAATCTGAGGACAAATACATAATCTATAAGCTTGAAGTGATAAAAGTTCCTGGGGATTGCTCAGTTTTGCAGAGGAAAAAAAAAAGGTAATAATTATGTAATAACACTGTAATTTTTAAGAACATAAATGGATGGTAAATACTGTAAGTTTATATATAACCAAATTATAATTATGTTTTATGTTTGAAGGAGTCATCAAGGAACTGAAGCAGGTAATTAAACTGACTCATCTGCTTTCATCAAATTTGTAAAAGTACGTAATAAATTCAGGCAGAAACATGAGACTGGGGTATACACTGTGTTCCTTGGAAATTGTTGGAGTTATATTGGTTATAAATACATATATGAAACTATTTAAGTGTGTAGGATACAAAGAACTTTGTATTAGGCAAGTCCATTCATTTTGGTACTATTAGCCATCTCCAGATTCATACCAGGGGCTGAGCTATCCCACCCCAAAACAGGCATGACACAGGCTGATTCTGGCACCTACTCACCATGATACTCCTCTCACTCTGAAGAAATAACTGTCTTTCTATCAAAAACCCCTTGTACAGATGAGTGTAATGGACTGGATTTCCTTTCATTTCATGTTGACATTTCACATTTCCACTCCCAGGGTAGAATTATTCTCTCCTCTTATGCAGGACTTTTTGATTTTCCTCTTTGTCAGTAAGTATAACATAGTCCATGGAAAATTTTATAAAATAAAACAAAAATGTGAAGATGGAAAGGGAACTGGCTTAAAAGAATGACAGGAAATTAGCTAAAGTGTCTGATTGTGCATTTCCTTATGGGAATTAAAAAAAACAAAAAACCCATAGATAGTTGAGAAAAAGAAAGAATGGTTAAATAAGGAGCATAAAGGTTCATAAAAGTATACTTTTAGCATCCAAAAACCAGGTTGAACAAGTTTATGAAAAGTGTAGAGGCACATAAACAGCCAAGAGTGCACAGTTTCTAATCATCTTGTACATTCATCTAAATTCTGAAAGAACAAGTTTGAGATATCAAAGTATAAGCTTCAAATATAAGCTTCAAAACACTGGATTTTTTAATATTATTTTATTTTTAAGAAATATTCTCTCCCAACCTATTTTTCCTATTTTCTTCTTAAAACACAGTAATACTCTTAAGATCTACAAATTGCAGGGGATGTACAATCAAGCACGCGGTGTGGATAAAGATCAGTTCTGAGGTCCAGTACAAGTTCCTATGAGTGAAATAAATCTGATAGAATACGAGTGGAAATTAGTTCCCTCATGGGTCCTGCACTAGCCTGCACAGCTGTGAATATTATTCTGTTTGAATTCTTTATCCCCTAAGTATTTATATTAAAAAAGACTCATTAGAAATAGCTGTCAGCTAAATTCACACGAACTCACAGAATACATTAGCCTACTCCCAACATTCAGAGCTCTGTGCTTACTACTTGTCAGAGTGATACCACAGAGTTCAAAAGATGCTGAGTTGCGTTAATAAATTACAAAGATAAGGTAATATATTTGATACATACTTGTGTTTCCATCACGAGCTGATGAGTCTAAATACGACATATTATTATTGAAGTATTCAAATAACACTGTATGATAAAAACACAACACAAAATATATTAAGGCAACTAGCACATTTTCCTGGAACAGAAACTATTTATAATATCCAGGATTAAAAAACCTGTAAAAAAAACAAAACAAAACCAAAAACTGCCTTTTTAGAAAAAGCTTTTTTTTTTTCTTTCCTTTTTTTTTTTTTTTCTGCATCAAATATGTGCTAATCAGCAGTCCTAGCACTTTGGTCATTTTAGAAAATAGGTGGTTGCAGACATTTAAGAGAACAAAATACAGAAAGGGAAAACAGTGTATCTGAAAGTATTTTACATTTATACCTTCTAGGTATAAATATATATATTGATATATCTTTTATATAGATATATAAATTTACACTTCTATGTACTGTCCATTTATTTACTTCGTAGGCTTTTCATTCCAGGATCTGTTTGAGTTTTGCTACAGCTAAACTTTATTTAGAAACACCATAACTATTTCTCCATTCAATTCATTTAATCCAAAGCATTAAACAGATTGATCTGCAAAATATAAACATGGCATCCCAGAAATTACTCATGTATTCTCTGTTAGCAGAGTCTCCAGCTCAGAGTTAGAGAACAATTCAAGAACACCTCAATTATACACCTTCGCTTTGGGGAGAAGGAGAACGTGGGGAGAAGGATTTAGGGTTTTCACTACATCCAAAGTGAAATCGTTTGACTTAACCACATAGTTGTAAAATTCTCATGTTTTGCATTTCTTCTTTTTTTTTCCTGGGGCCAAATATTTAATGAGCTATATAAAGTGGATCAGCTTTAGCTGTATTCCAAAGTCCTCACCAAGGAAATAGGTTTTACAGGTCCACATCCCTTCTCCAAAACAGCGTGAGATGCGATTTGATAACCTACCTGCTCTGTGAAAACGGTAACTACCTGGCTATTGGGAAACAATGTCTAGCCAGAGCCAAAAATGTCTGGTTCCTACCTGTCCCTTCTGTTATGTTTTATTTGGTAGTCATGATCTGAGGAGGCCTAAGACACTGGATCTGGCTGGTGATATAGGCAGGAGAAAGCCTTGCTGAAAATGCCCCTGGGGTTAGGCGTGAGCTTGGGATTTAAGCGTCTCGCACAAGCAGGACGCAGGCAGTTCTGACATGCCCGCTGGCAGGAACTATGTGGACTTAAGCATCACTGGGGCAACTACAGGGTAACAGCAGATAAGGAGGGGTTTTAAGGATCTTCGAAGCACTTAAATACTGCTGAAAGAGAATGAAAATTAAAAACCTATGTGTGTAAGGTAATTTTAAAATGAGACCTAAATGTTTTTGAAAATATCATCCTGATAACTCAAAACTAAATTTAAATACACAGCATAAATGCAATTGCATTTTTTTTGTCTTGCAATATCATAAAAACTATTTTTTAACAGATCACATGTTCAATTATATAATCCTTTACAGCAGCTTCATGGCAGGGAAACTCCAGCTGAATAAAGCTAATGTAACAGAGCAGAAAATCAAGCTCTCTGTCTAGTTTGGTTTAATCTCTAATTCACATTCCTAAAATGTTAGGGGGTGGAGAAGTGGACCCAAAGATTAGGGAGTATCAAATCTCCAGACTTTTGGTCCAAGCCAGTCAGAATGCTCCTGCTTCACCAAGTACAATATTACAAGGTCTAAACAATCTGTCCTGATTTAGCAAAGCCAACAACCTTGCACCTATTAGCAGTTAACCCATGAGACTGCCCATGCATTTAAGCACAAGTATACTACTAAGCACATAAATGACACTGTTTACTTTGCTAAAGTGGTGCCACAGTTTTAACATCTTGAAGGGCTGAACTCTCAAGACAACAAGGTTTACCAATTCTTATAAATATCCTCCAAAATAACGACTTTTCATAAATGCGTGACTGTTTTCAACTATGTTGACAACAGTACCATGTCCCCTGAAGTTATTTCAGAGTCCTGACTGTGTGTAGAGCTGATTCCAGTGTCAGAGTCTGTATCATTTATGTCCAGATTAGTCACTCTATGAACAAAGTCAGGAACAGCAGCGCTGTTGCTGGAGATGCTGCTGCCCTTGGATGGCTCTTCATTTGATGGAAGCCTAGTTTCAATGTTGTCTTTAACATGTAATAAATTAAATTCTTCTGTAAGAAGTTCATATTCCTTTTCCTTCTTTTGAAGAAGTGAGTCCCTGTATGTAAGTTCTTTCTGAATGCAGCTCAGGTATGAGTTGATTCTCAGACCATCTTTCATACTTTTTTCCAGCTCATATTTTACATTTTCCAAATTTGAGTTTTCTAGTTCGGCATTAGAAGCTCCTTCTGGGTGAACATCATCTCCATTTTTTTCTGTGCATATACCATGTACCTCTCTCTCAATTTCAGCACACAGCTTCTCTATTAATTGTTTGTGATGTTTCAGTCTCTCTTCGACCTGTAAAATTCCCTCACTTTTGCTCAAATAGTCATGCATCTCTCTTTGATCATCTGGCCTGCTCCCTTGCTGCTCAGCCTCACTTGGATTGATCATTAAATAGGAGTCCTGAACATAATTTTCTCCGTCATTGGCCACACGATCTAGATGGAATTTCGCTTCACATTTTTCAATTTCCATATCTAGTTCCTTCATTCTAAGGACTTGTTGATGAATGGTATGATCTTGAGAAATGATCAGATGAATCAGTGTCTCCATATTATCTCTCTCTTGCTGAACACTGTCCTGTTTAAGCTTGGCCAATTTCCGGAAAGTCTTCCTGACAATTTTCTTTTGCTTGTCTATTGGCAACATCTTCATGTAATTTGCTGGACTGAGCTCCCACTGTTTTTCTACATTTTGTACTACCTTAGCTTCAGCTGTCTTCCACAATGGAAATGAGAGGAACGCATCTGACTTTACCAACACAAAGTGCAAATTAGACTGCTCTTCCCCCCAGGCCTTCCAAAGTCTCAGAATCTTTGTCAAGGGAGGAAGTACTCGCTCTGAGCCTCTCCATTTTTCTACAATGCAGTAATCACTAGGTTTTCCAAAAAGGACCTTTTTCTCTCCAAATGTTGCTTGATGTTCCTCAAGCAGTGCTTGAATCACTTCTGAGCAAGTTGTGCGCTTTGTCAGGCCACATACAATTTTCTCTTCCTGGCAAACCCAAACCACAATCTCTCTTTCATTTGAAGCCATGTCCTTGTTGGGAGACCTGGAAAACAAGAAGAGACCCAATATAAATTACATATCAATGGCACAGCCTGTATGAATAATAGCTATAACTCTGATATAACTATCACATTGAAAAATTTCCTTATTATTGTACAAGGCAATATTCTTGTTTAAATTACATGAAGAAATACCTTTGGATTAAGTAACAGAAAAACACACCCATTTCAGCTGCTGCTTTAATATTATTACTAGTTCAACTGAATGTGAATCTCACACAAAATGTCTTTTATCAAATTAAGGTTTTGTACACATAATAAGTGTGCATTAACAATAAGTTATAAAGCTTGGCAATCTGCATTACATTTCCAGACTCTCCTAGGATAATATAACTTTCAGATCTGCATATCTGTTCTCATAACACAGACTTTGCACAAACATTTGTAAGCTCTTAATATCACCACAGCTTTTGAAGGGAAGAATCATGCCTCCAAATATACACTGAACATAGATGACTGAGAAAAGATGTTTGAACACTATCTAAGTTAAAAAAACTCAATGATAGGATAAATCTATAGCTCTTTTGCCACACCTGCACCCACACAATTGTAAACACCATTATTTTCCACTGTGATTTTTCACTAACAAGTCTCAAGAAACTTGTTGCTTTTCCTGAAGTACCAAATAGCCTGAATTCTAGTGAGTTGTGACAACACTGAGACAGAATGCATATATAGGTCTGTATTTTATAGCCTTTGTAATGATAAAGAAATGCCAGAAAATGTAAAAAGTTGACTTTTTAAAAAAATTTATTTATGAATTCCAATGAATGTAGTATTAAGCTGACATTAGCAGCTGGTACCTCCTTATACATTGAGACACCTAACTCCAGGTGTCTAAGATCCCATTATGGTTACTATAGCTGTCTAATCAATACAATCAGTGGAGCCTAGAGCGTGATTCAGCTGTCCAAATGGAGAAGTTCACTTTAACTCTTAAGTTTGTCCCCACCTGAGTAGCCCTGGACTGCCATGGACCTACATTGACAGAGTGGCCTTGTGGAACCTGTCCAGGATACTCTAGCCTCCATAGGCATAATTTGCTGCTTGCCCAGACCTGGTAATTTGATCTCTTGCCTAAAACGATAAAACAATGAATTCCCTGAGGAAAAATGCATTTCCTTGGATTTTCTGGTATCACTTCCAGTTCATTTGAACGAATGAGATTTAACCCAGTCTGACAAGAGAAAGCTTAAAAATGATAACGACAATTTGGACAATATTCTAAGGGTTCAATACCACATTTATTTCTATCTGTGACTACTTATTCATAGTACTTTTCAACTCTTTTGAGATGTAGTAGCAATGGAGTTTTACTTGGCTTAATTAGGGTTATACCCTATGATTATTAAAGGAATCCCACTTGTTTCTTTTTCTTAATTACTATACAACACGAGAGACAAACTACAACCCAATAAATTGAACTATGGGTGACACAGCTCTAGGTGCCACTCTGACCAGGAGGCAATAAACCAGGAGACTGCAAATGAATATTAATAAAACATACAAGAATGAGTTTATTAGTGTCATCGCAAGGGAGAGCTCTGTCCAACTACATTGCTCGAGGTCTTGGAACATTCCTCTGTAAAGTTTGTATTTTGGTAGATTACTCCGAGTAATGACATCATTTTCCCACTTCAATAGCTCTCTCTTACAGGCCAGCATTTTACAGTAATTACTTTTTAAAACTGGTGTTCAGACGATTAATAATGTTTTCATAGACTGCTTCTCAAAATAGGAAAGCTTATGTCACAGACATAGAAAATCCAAAATGGCATGAAGAAACAAATATTCAAGTTTAAATGGGGAGGGTGGAATGAAAGACAATATCATATTAAATGGCATTACTGTTAAGCATGTCACATGCTAAGAAGTCAGTATCTGCAAGTTTTTTCAGGTTTACAGAATACAGGATGCTGTAGAAAGATTTTTGCCTGTTGACAGATTGATAGTTAAATGAAACTTACATAAATAGACAATTGCAGCATAAGTCAGCTGTGACAGTCAAGTAACGCAGTATTTGCTTTATACTACAGATATAAAAAGAAAAAAGGGATAAACTACAGAGTTACAGAATATGTTAAACATAAAATTATGCAAAACGAATTACCAAAATAGAGTACCTCAATCAATGTTCACTACTGATACATAAATAATTGACCTAAAAATAAAAGTGTATTACCAGTCACCGAATTACAACTTATAAAAGTACCAATAGAAAAATAAAAATTAAACAGGCATAAAAACACAAGAAATATGGATTTGGATTTTGAGGAAGTAAATTCAGACTGTATATTTCCTGTTGTTTTTTGTAATCAATAAATACATTTCAGGGAATACACATTATCTCAGTCTTCTAGCATTCTTCTGAGAGTCTTATGAAATTTATTTGCACATTTAAGCTCTTCCTATTTTTTTTTTCTCCTTCTTGTTTCTGGTTGATTGCCATATTGTCTCCTAGGTAATATTTTTCATGTGTAACAGATTATGTGAGTTAAGCAAAAGCTTACTGTCTCTTTTCCTCCTGCCTCCTTTAAAGCTTTCCTATGAAGACGGTTTCTCTCTGTGTTATTAGTAAATCTTCAGATGAATTTGAAAACTCCATAGATACCCCATAGTATTAGTGTACTGATAAATACTTCTGCTATTCCCATTTTTCACATGGACTTCCCACTGACTTCAGCAAAAATACATTGCTTATTGCAAAGCAATCTCTACAGGAACTCTGCAAACTATATGGATATAAAATGACATTTTTACATTACTCTTTTCAATAATTTTCTAGCTCATCACCCCATTATTTTTTCAGTTACAATGCACCTGTCTACCCAGACTTTACATCAAACTTTTGGGGAAGGATTTTTCTTTACCCTTTCTATAGCATATTTAACATACTGAAGTCCGAAACTAATAGTAGCACTGCAGGAATGGATAATGTATGCACATGCAAGTACACAAAGAACTCAAATAGCTTATACATGAAAATATATACATATATATATATGTTTGTATAGCATATGTAACACACACCTTGTAATTATATTGTCACCTTTTACAGAACAGGAGAGAAAAAAAAAAAGAAATTCTGAACATCGCTGTAATTCTTGGATCAAAACAGAACTGTAAAGTGCAAATTCTTTCATTATTTTTTCCATGTTTGTCACAACATGTATTATCTTCATTTTTATTCAGCAGCCTCTAAATTTTTGATCTTTCTTTTTAATCAAAAGGAGCTAGCAAGTCATTTATAATCTTACAGTGCCATGGATTTCTAACATCATCTAAAAAATCAAAAGTGTTCTTTATTATCCTCCACTATAAAAGGGTAAACTGACGTGGCCTACCATGGATCTTTTAAGTAAAATTTATTGTATAATTCTTTAATCATAGTTAATTCAGGTAGTGCCAAACAAAAATGAAGCTTCAGTGTGCCGATCACAGCATAACAATTGTTAAAGACTTGCTTTCAGGATGCAAAAAGATGATAATACTCGGAACCAACTGTCATTAAGCTGTGCTTTCCTCATAGGAAGTGGAGAGCAGATTCCCCACTTCCACATACGAAGTGGAATTCATCTCACTTAGGCATTTGGAAGTTATGACTTCAGTATAAATTCACCATCAAAGTTCCCACTTGTCATGGGAAGAGAGTGGCAAGGAGAAAGTCACCACAGCCTCAGCTATCTATGTCATTGGGATGAATTCTCAAACAAAACTATTTCTCTCTTTCATTAACGACAAGAGACCTATATTGCCATCTTCAATTAAATAGCTCACTTTCAGGTAGCTATAGGTGAGAATAATCCAGTCAGATTCTGGTTTATTGTCTGAGAGATATGTAACAGGAATGGTTGAGACAGCAGTAGATTTAATAAAGATAACTAAATATGGGACCTACGTATTATGACTTCATAGCTTAGTTTAGATGCTGACAATTCCATTTGCTGTTCAATTTATTACTATCATTTATAAGGAAATCTATGAAGTCATTTCAGTACTAAAGAAGATATAATCCAATTTATAACTCCACATCTTGAATCAATATTGGTTATTGACTGATTTTTTTTTCTTGAGATGTAATACTAAAAATAACAATATTCAACAACAAGATCTGCTTTTAGACGGTCATTTTAATGAAGAGGCAAGCTTTTTATACTTACTGATTCCTTGGCCTTGTCATCTTGCTGTTTTTTAGAGAAAGGCAAAAGAACTGTCATTTTTAATAACCTATCAATTAATAAGTATCTAATAGCTAGGGTGTTTATCCAGTTTAAATGTATGACTTTCTTGAAAACCAATTCCAGTAGCAACTTATACAAAACTAGCTAGGCAACTTCTTCGTTTTTCCAAAAGTTTATTACTGTTGCTGTAAGCAAGCTTTAAAGCTTTCAGTTCTGGCTTGAATTCTGTTTCTTTGAATTGATCACTGAAATGTTCTATTCATGTACCTATGATTTTAAAGCCTTGATGATAATGAGAACATGCAGATCTTTTTTTGCAAAGTCACTTGTTGCTCAAGAACAAGCTTATTTTAAGCTTAAGAATGATCAAAAGTATATTTCCAGTCTCTTGTTTGTTTTGATTGCTAGTTTTATGCCTTCCACTCTTTGCTTCTCTTCATGATGACCCAAAAAAACATTCTAATCACGTTATAGACCTCACACAGAGTCTTGATTCTGTCAGCGCAAGCTGATTGTTGTGTGTCAGATATACACTTCATTAATTTAATATTCAGGCCTAGGGGAAGAAATGTAATACATTCCATCAACGTATAGACAAAACAAAAACATATATTTATGTTGGACAAAGTCAAAATATAAGATAACTAAAATACTGCAAGTGGCATTTTCGATATTCACTAACTTTAAGGGATGTCTGGTACAAAAACATACATATCCAACACATAATTCTTTGCCTTCCTGAAAATTTTAACATTCTTCTTAAATATGGAACACAGTTTTACAACCAATCATGCCG